AAAAAATTTAAAGTTCTTGATTTCTCATGTTTCATAGAATATAAAAATATTTAGAATTATTTTTTAAAAGAATGCAAAAATATTTTTGAATACATAGATTTTTATAATTTAATATTTTTTATATTTACTTTAAACTACTGCAGGATATAAATAAATAAAGTAGTAAGTAAGCTAGAGATTTTGTTAAGTAAAATGTATGAACAATAAAAATTGTGGAAAAAAAATTAGTTTAAAAAAAAATATTTATTTGAAAAAAAGAAAAAAAAATTGTTTGAAAAATAAAAATAAAACAATATTTCAAGTTGATGGCCAAAAAATATGTATAAAAAAATGAAGTTTCATATATTTTCTTTAAAAAATTTACTACTATATATTTTCTTTTCAGGGTATAAAAATATTTGCACTGAAAAATAAATAATTTTCATAATTTTTTTTTGAGGTTATAAAAAATGTGCGCTTTCATATAACAGAATTTCATTTTGATCTGTTTATATTAAGACAATTCTGACTTTATGAAAATTATTAGCACAGAAAATAAATAAAATTGTTATTTTTAATTTTTTAATTTGTGGTTTTGGTGTTAATTATTTTCTCTGAAAAATATTATCAAATTTTAATTTTATGAAAATTATAACATATAATAAATTACACAGAAAACAAATAAAATATATATTTTTTTAATTCTAAAAGAGTGGTTATAAGTTTATGAAAAAAATTGCACTAAAAAATAAACAAAATTTCAGATTTCATTTTTATTTTTTTAATTTTAAAAATATATTTTCAGTGAAAAAAAATATTTTTTCCAATGAAAAGCATTTAGCATTGAAAAATAAATAAAATGCAGTTTTTTGTTTTACTTTTAAATTTGAGGTTATGAAAAAATTTCTTTTAAAAAATGGACAAATTTTAAAATTTGATTTAATTTTTTAAATAAATAGTAATTAATATATATTGTCACTGGAAATAGATATATTTCTGGCTTTTTAGTAAGGTTATGTAAAAAATTTTCGTATCATAAAGTTTATTAAATTTTTATGTGGTTACAATAAAACTATGTGAAAAACATTTAGCATTGAAAAATATATAAAATTCAGGTTTTTTGAGTTTTTAACTTAATTAAATAATTTAATTTTTTGAGATTTTGAGGTTATGCAAAATATTTCACTGAAAAAACAAAAAATATTCAGATTTTTACTTTTTTGAGTTAATAAAATATATTTTTGAGTTTAGGAAAAGCATTTAGTATAGAAAAATATATAAAATTCTGGTTTTCTTAGATTTTAAATTAATTAATTAATTTAATTTTTTGAGATTTTGAGGTTATGAAAAACATTTCACTAAAAACGAATCAAAAAAATAAATAAAATTTTTGATTAAAATAAGTTACTGATTTTTTTTGTATTTCTTTGCGTTAATAAAATATATTTTCACTGACGAAGAATTTTTAGTTTTTTTTTTAGTTAATGTAAAATATTCAGTTAAAAAATTAATTATTCATATTTAAAATTTAAGGTTTCGAGCTTACGAAAAAATTGCCACTTAAAAATAACAAAGTTTAAGGTTTTTTATAAATTAAATTTAAGATATTTGGATATTTTTGGAGTTCATAAAATATATTTTCATTGTGAAATAATTTTTAGTTTTTGTTTTAAGGTTATGTAGAAATTTCCGTTGAAATATAAATATCATTTAAGTTTATCATAATTTTGTGAGTTTATAAAAAATATTTGCATAAATACAAATCGTATGCATTTTAACTAATTTCAATATTAAAAATGATGATAATAAATTGGAAAATAAATTTAATTTACAAAAAAGTAGTTCAATATTAAAAATAAATTCAAATAAGTTAAATAGCACTAAATAAAAAAACAACATATGGTAACTTTTTTTCAATTACTGTCTGTTTATTTTGCAAAAAACAAAGGCAAATTAAGAAATACATCACATTAAATTAGTTTGCTTTAAGTTTGATTATCGTCGGTTTTACGCTATACTCTTAAACATTTTGATTGTTTTCATAATTCTTCCTTTTATTTACGCTACACAACTTAGGCAAATTTAATATATATGCTAAAACTGTATTTATTTTTAACAAAACTACATAAAATATTACATAGAGTTCAATGTACAGCGTATAACGGTATTAAATTTAATAACTAAAATTAATTTAAACTAGTAAATTAAGAATTATTTTAAAGTAGAACAAGCGCTAATTATAAAATAGTTGGTAAATGAACAATTAAATTAAGTTAAATTTTAATTTATTTAAAATTAATGGAAAAATTGATTTACTTTATTTAAACACATAAACACTTTTGATCTGTTTAAAACATATTGCTAGTGGAAATTGTTGTAATTTAAAGCGCTTGCACAGCGCTTGGCTAACTTTGTGGCATTACAAATAAGTGCAAGAAGGCGCAAAATTGCAACAAGAAAATTACAATAAAAAGAAAACAATATAAATTTGTATATACAATATATAAATAGGCTACATTAAAATATTTTCAATATAAAATTATATATTTTGAAATAGTTTTATTTTTTAAAATTTCAATTGCTACAAAGAGAACTGCAGCGCGCGCTCTCTCACTCTCTCATTCTCTCTTTAGAAAATAAAATAATTGAAGCGCGTCGGCGCAACAAATACTTGAGGGTACGACTGCAACTTAAACATTTTGTTAGCTGTTTCTTCGGTATGTGTTGGCGCGCAGTGGTAGCGACTACCATCTACAGCAACAACTATTGTGAAAATAAACACAACACATGTGACAGCATAGCATAGCATAATATTGAATTAAATAAATCACACACTTTATTATTAATTTACCTATATATGCGGCAACTAAACTAATAAACATTTACAATACAATTATATAATGTAGTGTATAAGTATGTATTATATATGTATATCAAATAAACTTAATGTAAAAGAATTTAAATTTTTAAATTATTATTATTTTATACAGATTATAGGAATATTATAGTAACCTGAAAGCAACACTAAATATAGCGCACAGCAACAACTACAACTATACTGCCGGTTTAAATAAACTGTTATAGACACAATTATGTCTAAATGTCTTTTCAATACATACATAGCAGCGTTACGTACTAAGCCAAGTTATGTAATAACTGTTTTGAATTACTTGTACACACACTTTTGGTCGTTACAGTTAGTAGAATTGTACACATAAACACTTTTTGCGGGGCATAGGCGGTTTATGCACACAAAAATTTACATTAAAAGGAATTAGTATTGGAATTTTTATTGCTTTTGCAAATATTGTTCGCCAGATATGTGTTTTGTATTGGACGTATTTTTGTTGTATATTCTTTTCAGTACAATGATTTTCAAAATTTGAGCAGTTTTACGTACATATTCGCACAAGTATGTATATATGTAGAAACATATATAAGCGCAGCGAGAAGAGCGATGTTTTTAAGGCGACATGGGAAAATATTATTATTAACAAAAATTTGTTTGAAAAAAATTTACAATAAAACCAAAAAAAACACACATACAAATATGAAAATAAATAAAGCTAAAACATATTCAATATAAATATAAAAAAAAATTAACAACGACAGCAAATAAAAAAATAAAATAAAAACAATTAAAATAAGCAATAAAGTACGATTAAAAAAAGCAATAAAAAATAAATAAAAAACCAAATAAAAAAAATAATATTAAAAAATAAA